GTCTATAATACTGAGTGACCTCTCACAGAAACAAAGATCCGAGTATCACATGTTCTCACTCATATAATGGACCTTGAACATCCAATGTAATACTATAAGAAAATGACTGACGATACTGGGAAACTATGGGGGGAGAGGGAGATGGGATTAACAGTAGCAAATATCTGTCTGCGGATGGGGAATCACCTCTTATCAACAGGGTGCCTGAATGAAACGTAATTTATACCTAACCCTTAACTGCACCCCACAACATCATAATAAAAAATATTGATAAAAAAAACATTGAGCTCACAGTTATCAACACTATAACTCATGCCTGAATGAAGCTTACCTAACATATTTTCCTCATAAGGTGCATTGCAACCTTCTTGTGCTTAAAAACACTAGACAGTACTTCAGCACTCTTTGGGAGCAATTTTAAACAGTGAAATCACCAACAACAAGGCACAAGTATGCAAAAGTGGCAGTCAACATATTGCAGAAAGGCCACTTGTTTGAAGTATGAGAGCTGAAGCAAGAAGGTAGAACACTGACTTGTTTGACTTCTGCTGGGAACATGTGCATTAAGCCACTTAAACTTTTTGCTGCTCTGTTCATGAACATATCTGCAAATGACTGTGAGAATGCTGCAAGCATTGATTTTAGGGTTGCACATACATTTTAGAGAGTAGGTAAAATTACAAATATAGGATCTATGAATAATAAGAATCAACTGTACATTACTCTACAGAACAGTCTGGTAAGAATATCACACCTGGCATGCTACCCCTGTCAACGGACTCTTGATGTCACTTCTGTGAAAAATTAACATTCTTGTGCCTCTGCATCACTTTCTTAAGATTCAATATCATGGTAGAAGCATCTATGGGACAAGCCTAGGGCCTTATCTCTCACCAAGACTCTCACAATGGGAAATGATTTGATTATAGGAAGAGTGTTCTGGTTAGGATAGCATCCTCAATGATAAATACCCACCAAAGTCGACCACTTTGTCACATGCAGCCTTTTTTCCATGTTTATATGTTGTACCTCAAATTGTTCTCACAAAGCATAGTTCAGCTAAAGTTCCTGCAGCTAAAAACAACATCATCCTCTCCCTCAAATGAGGGACATCTCAAAATCTTATCGGTTACTGCATCTGGCTCTACTTCCAGGTTCTCTGGGTAGTGGTCATCCTTCCTCTAGTTTTGATGCAATACTATGGAGTAAATTGTGTAAGTTCATCCTCACTACCAACTTGAAGTAATAAACAAAAAAGAAGAAGAAAGAAATAAGACATTATTTAAAATATATTAAAATATACATGGCACATCAAAAAGTAAATTTGGGCTTGGCATGGTGGTACATGCCTGGATTCCCAGTTACTCGGGAGCTGAGATGGGAGGATCACTTGAGGCCAGGAGTTCGAGGCTGCAGTACACTATGATCATGCCACCGCACTCCAGCCTGAGCAGCATAACAAGAACTCCCATCTCTTAAAAAAAATAAAAGTTGATTTGGGTAAAGCATACAGTTCTTGTTTTTATATTTGGTCACTAGTCTGTAACTAGTAGGTTTCCTCCTTTTCTAGTCATTTAACATTCCTCCTGTCATTTACCAGCGAATCAGTTGGCAGGTTTTCTTTAACGAATGGGGTTATCCATCTTTATTCTTTGGTGATACTGCATTTGTTGGGTTGCTGTGGTAATCTATTAACTCTTATCTCTGAAAATTGCAGCTCTAAGGCAAGCCCAGAAACTCTCCTGATTTCCAGATGTATACCTTCCTACTCTCATTGTGCAGCAACATCTTTATTTTTGTTTGATAATCACGATTAGTCACCCCAGCCAACACCACAAACTACCTTTTTGTTTGCTAGTTCAACGGCATAAAGAGCCAAAAAGATGACCAGGGAGAAAGACTCAGCTTTCAAACGGTGGAAGCATCCCCCTTGGGAACTAACACCTCTAAATCATCAGGGCTCAGAGTCGCAAGCAACAGTAATCAAACACATTGTAAATGCCATTAAGTATAATTGTGAGAAGTATCGCTTCCTCTTTCCATCTCTTGGTTCTAAGACCAATACTAGTTGGATTGTGGGGAGGGATACTGCATTCTGTAAGGTAGCACTGGCAAATTAAGGTTCCAAAGCATCCAACTGGTGAGACTAGGTCAAGTACATGCAACTCTAACGTTCAGTGTGTGGGGAGAGAAAGAATTTGGCTCTTTTAAGTTTTGTAATTCCACAGTTAAAGGCTCTGATGCTGTGCTTTTATTGCTATATCTAAAGGTAGAGTTAGGCAGTGATGCCAATAGTTGTTTGGCATCACTGATGTCATAAAAATATCTTCTTATCTCTCTCTTTTCTAGAAGTTATTAATAAAGGGCTATTTAAATTTA